TTAATTAGAGATGTGGTCTAAATTTATTAGTAGTTATCAATATCAATCTGTGTACTTATCTAAGATTTCAATTAATTTGTATATAATTATCTAATATTATATAAAATAATATCAAAAAGCCGTGACCTTCACAACTTCTTCGGCCGTTATTTTGACTTATCTCGACTTTTAATTTTTATTGTGTAACACAATATTCGGTGAAATTAAAGGTGGCATATACTCACGTGAATATGGTTGATCTTTATCTCCTCTTCGATATGGGTGATGTTTATCTTATTGGGTAAGTTAATTAGATATGTGGTCAAAATTGATTAGTACTTATCAATTTGTGTACTTATCTAAGAGTTCAATTACATTTTATATAATTATCTAATTATATTAAATAATATTAAAATTGCGCATCATTACCTTAAAAAATAAATTCCACGAAAAATTAATATGAAGAAATTTATATTACATTAAATTTAAAAGTAATAACAAAACAATAATCAAATAGAGTAGGCATTAATCGGCTTAAATAAAACAAAATGTCATAGATATTGAACAACAATACTAATATATTTGAAAAATTCAAAACGCAACAATTAAATCGATAAAAAGTGAAATAAAATAATTCTTCACAGCACGATAACAATTATCACTCTTCCTACCCCCACTGCCATGCATTTCTATTCGGCTCTCCATCACAATATTGGAGTTGGTGACGTACATATTCGGCTTATACCATTTGCTGCTTAGAAAACTGTGTACAAAATTTTATAAAATATATGAAAAAATTGAATGAATTAATTAAATAACAAAATGATAATTGAAAATATACACACAAAATATATACAACATCTATATAAAAAGTTAAAAAATAAAATAAAGTGTCAATTGTTTGTGAACACTTATTTGGTGCGAAAATGTATAATTTCCGAAACATTAGAAGCAAAAAGGCCTGTCACATTCAGATATGAACTCAATTGATACTCACCTGTTGCAAAACAAAATATATGTTAAATTGCAATTTAAATTATATATAATATCATTATTTATTTTATATTATAATATAAAAAAATCACAAATTCGAAATACCTGCAATATTTTTTTTTTATCCTACATAATTGCATGATGAGAACCCATGGTTCTCCATCGTCCGCAGCTTGGAAGTAATTTTCACAAAAAAGAAAGTCTTGAACATATTCACCCAAACTTCGCAACGCAACACTAATCCACTAATTAATAAAAAAAAGTTAATATCTTGAATTGTTCATACACTTTACAAATACATAATTCATGTAATACATATATTTCTTACTCTAAATCTATCATTGAAAAAGATATCCCTTGCTTTTCTTCTCCATTTATGAAATATAAATTAATGGGTCGAACTTCAACAACCATACCAATAGCATCTACAATAGATATTAGTAGAAAAATTATGTAATATTTTATTAATTAATATATCAAACAATAAAAAAGTAAAAGTAAAAAAAATTCAAATACACCTTAAATAATAAATAAAAGATGTACCATATAGGATTGACTCGTTGACAATGTCATCATTTTGAAGAAATGCAAAACTACGTAAGTCGAATTCCCATGTAGGGAAAGTAGATAGCACGTGAACGACCTGAGTATCCTCATAAATTATAACTTTGTAGTCTGCATTAGTAGATCTAAATTTACCAACGTTTAGCTCTAGTCGGTAGTTGGTAAATATGTAGACCCCGCCCTCCTCAAGCAATCCAACAAATATGGCTCACCACGAACTATACTCGTTATTCGTGATCCCTACACAACAAATAAACATTGTTATTGAGCTAATAAAAAAAGTAAACAATTATCAAAACAAAAATTCATTGCAATATATTTACCTGCATATCGTGGAAAAATATTTCCCAATCGTTTTGGAATGATCTCTTGAAAATACGTATGGCTCTTAGCCTAAGATTGAAGCTCATATTAGTTGTGGGTTGACTTATCAAGCCTAATTGCTCCATGACAAATTTTTTATTTTTTATTTTTTGATACATGGAGAAGGATTTTTTTTTTTTTCTCACGATATGAAATTGATTTGTGGAGTGATTGATTTTTGGGTTTTTATACTGATAGTAGATATCCAAAATATTATACGGAATATTTAGATTTAATAATATAATATACTATAAATTATTTGTAAAAGATATTATTTTCGAAATTTTTAATTAGGTAGATATCTAGATGAATATGGGAACATGTTTATCATAGGAATGTTTTTTTTCTTGAAACACATATTTAAATTTCTAAATGGAAAGAGGTTTTATGTTTCAAGAATTTGATTTACTAATGGATTCTGTTCAACAAAAGAGATTTCAACAACCTCTATA